GGAGAGAAGCCATAATGGAAGGGTGAGGCTCCGGGGATGGGGCGTTGGCAGGGGACAGGGTGGTTCTTAGGAGCGTGCTCTTTACGAGAAGTGGGGCGGAGGCAAGAAGCAATGGCGGGCCACACATGGCGAGACCAGGCCAGTGGGCTCGAGGACTGGGAGAGGCTCCAGGGATGCCAGAGAGTCGAAGGATGCGGGAAGGGAACAGGGGTAACCGTGGATCGTGCGGAGTGGCACAGAGGCGCATGCTCTGGAGCCGGATCGCCTGGGTTCGAGTTCTGTCTCTACCTCAGCAACCCTGGGCAAGTCACCCGACTCAGTTGTCCCCTCAGTAGAGCGGAGAACGTAGTGCCTGCCTCCCAGTGACGGTGGGATGGAAGGAGTTAACGTGTGTGAATTGCTCGGCAGAGCGCATGGGCAACATAAGCACCTCGGTCGTTGCTAGTGGTCCTTTTACTTGGGAGTCCCTTAAATGCTTAAAGAAAAGGGGTTAAGGGGCGCCTGGGTGGCGCAGTCGGTTAAGCGTCCGACTTCAGCCAGGTCACGATCTCGCGGTCCGTGAGTTCGAGCCCCGCGTCGGGCTCTGGGCTGATGGCTCAGAGCCTGGAGCCTGTTTCCGATTCTGTGTCTCCCTCTCTCTCTGCCCCTCCCCCGTTCATGCTCTGTCTCTCTCTGTCCCAAAAATAAATAAACGTTGAAAAAAAAAATTAAAAAAAAAAAAAAAAAAAAAAAAAAAAAAAAAGAAAAGGGGTTAAAATTAGAATTCCTGTCTAGACTAATTCGTTTGTGCGCGACAACATTACCCTGAGACTGAATGACTTCGGTCCCAGCTTTATGTGCACGGCCGAATCGATGTCCTTTTCCAACCTCCCCTCAAAAGTGGGGGATAGTAATAGTATTTCTCATTGACTGAGTTCATACATGGAAAGTGCGGGAACTTAATAAACACTCAAAGCTGTTGGTGGTTTCGGTTGTCATTGTTCCTGTCATTCTTTTGCATAGTGACGCGAGGCAGGCTAGAAAAGGAAACTGGTTTTTCAGACGACTTTGTGTGTCCCATCAATGCTGGACCATTATGATGTTCTCTTTTCTTTCCTTTTGGTGCCCTTGTCAGGATGACCCAGTAACAGGGTTACCCTGGCCTCACACCATGAATTGGGAAGTGTTCTCTCTCTCTATTCTCTGGAAGCACTTGTGTAAGATGTGTGTTACTTGTTAAAAGTTTGGGAGAATTACCGTTGAAGCCAGCAAGCCTTAGACGTTTTTTTGCAGGAAGGTTTTTAATAATCGATTCCATTTCTTTAATAGATCCTGAAACGTTCAGCTTTTCTCTCTCTTTTTCTGATGGTTGGAGACGTTGTGTTTTCCGAGGAGCTTTTCTGTTTCTCCTAAGTTATCACATTTATTGATATAAAGTTGTTCGTACAATGCATTTATTATCCTTTGGAAACTGTGAGATTAGATCAGCTTATGAGCGTGGGGCCCCGTGATGGGGTTACAGCCTTTGGGGAAAAAAAGTGAGCTTTCTGCGTGCACACAGCAAGTATGGACCAGGTGAGGACACAATGAGAAGACGCCCATCTGGGAGGAGAGCTGTCTTGCGGGAAAGAAATGCCTGTTGTTTGAGTCACTCAGTCCATGGTATTTGGTTATTTCAGCCCCATGGTACATAAAACAAGATAGACGTGGCCTGTCTTCCTGAGCCAGCAGCAAAATTTGACAGAAAATAATTGTATACTTTAAAAAACAGTTGCATTATGGGACATGGGACCAAACATGGGTTGAAGAACGTCAAGTCGCAGTGGAATGTGATCCAGATTCCTGGGGTGTGGCGGCGGGGGGCAGGGCCTGGTGGTTTGCACGGATGTTCTGCCTAGAAACTCACAGCAGCGTCCTGGAGCATAGGCACCAGCTCTCGATATCTGATTGCCAAATTGTCACGAATTTGGCCAGCCGGTTGTGAAACATAGATATCGTTTAAAATGGAATTATACGAACTCGTGATTCAATATATGAAAACAGAGGTAATAGATACGCAAAGCTCACCACTTCCTGACTATTTTACTCTCACCTGTGGTCTTAGGATTACCTATATCTGCTTTATTTACATCAGTATGTGTGGAGGAAGTGCTGCGTCGCGATGCGATATCGCCGGGCTCATTCCAACGCTGTGTTCAGTGATGTCTCTTGATAGCTTGAAATCAACCACGCGGGGGTATTTACACCGTAGAAGTTGACAAACACCCCAAATCAGGGCTTAGCTTTTTGTTTTGTGGCTTGTCTGGATTTAAGAGAGTGATGGAAAGTGGTCAAAGTGCAGATCAAACTTAACAATGTGTTGCGGTGACAGCGGTTACATGGTGAATAGCCCACCCCCGCCCCGGCAAGATGAGGGAATATTCTTCCAGTATTTGTGAAAACTCTCACTTGATTCAGTAAAGAAGTGACTCGCGTCATTGGTGAATGAGTGAATTCCTGACATACTTCATTGTTTCCCTCTTGTCTTAATTATTAATGTAAATAAAAACATAAGCTGACGTTCATAGTAGAACCAAATTCATCGGTCAGTGAATGAGTGACTTCTTAGCTGAATTGAATAGTAACCAAGCACTTTTACACACACACGTGCGCACACACACAGACACACAGAAAGAGCTTTGCAGAGCGCCCATTGTTCAACATTTACCATCATACCTCTGCTCCCGAGAGACTTGGTGCGCAGAGTCTGTGAGGGTCATTTGAGTTTGAGAAGAACCAGCCATAGGGGACCGTTCCATGATTGGCGGGGTCACATTTGCTGGTTAAAGGGCAGTGACTATGCCTCACTCATTTTCCTGGCCCCAACTCCCGGTCAGGTCGTTGAGAAAACAGGATGCGTCTTCGAGGTACGGAAGTGGATTGTGGGTATATCTCACAAGTCTTCCCCGGCTCAGTAAATGACAACTGCTGAGATCAACAATTGGAATGGCTCCTGGTTCCTCTCTTTGCCTTACACCTCCTAACAGATTGTCCACACAGCTGTCAGGCTCTTCCTTGGAAACAGACCCAGAATTTGACCACTTCTCACAACCTCCACTGCCC